GGGGAAAGAAGGAGAGAGTGAGAAAGCTACTGGGGGCGATTCATTTTCATATGGAATCAGCGTACTTCTCCCAATACCATACATGGCGGGGTTGAAACTATTATGACGTGCTACTGATCGTGGCTTAGGTGGATGCTAATTGACGACAATTTGGCCCTTTACATGACCCAGTGTCAGGCTGAAATGGTTCCTTCGAAACAAAGGGAATTCTGAGATTCTCATATACGTGAAATCGGAGTCGGCCGTTTCGTAGCTCGATACACATCGAGCAGCGACCAGGCCGCTCGTGGCACGGGTCGGTGGTCTTTGGCATCCGAATCAATCATTGGTTAAGTTACCTTGGTCCAACTATCAGTACATGGTGAGTAAGTATAGTAGATACTGTGGAAGTCACTGCTGTTGGTCTGACCTGGTGGAGGTAGCGACGGAACCCATCACTTATTATGATCGAAATACCCGGTTCATTATCCCAGCCGCAAAAGAGGTGAGCAACCTTTATATTCTCTCTAGTGGTATACCCCAATAGTATGCATTTGCTAGCAGCACCCGCTAGGGAGTTAGCAGAGGATAACTAGAAAAAAGTCATATTGTAAAAAAATCCAGACTCACCAAGCACGGGACCCCTACCCGCCTCGTCAATTCCAAGCATGCAGGGTTTCTTTTTCACGTCACTGCTGAGAAATTGGATTGATGAAGTAGTCCGACTGTCACCATTAGCTGCCAGACAGTCATCCAGAAAGCCGTTATAAGCGAGGAATGATGGCAGTAGTTGGGGCGTCTCCTCGTCTTCGGCCTTGCCGGTGACATTGGGAGTAGCCTCCTCGGTAGAATCGGTGATGAGGGGATCGACGGGCGCCATACTTTAGTTAAATAAATAGCCTACAGATTAATATACGGAAAGGCGTTTGGTGTGAACAGCAAAGGGAAAGATCATTGAAGAAGTCCCTCACAAATAAGGCCCAAAATAACAACCAGAAGGAAGTCACAGATAACCAATCAGCGTCAACTGACACGTTAAGTTAAAGATTCCGGGTGCCCTAAAATGCTTTTCGTTTGGTGGTTTGTTGAAAAACAATGGACCACCACTCTTCCACTGGTTGCAGAGAATGAGAGTTATTGCAGTACTCAATCGAGGCAGCGAGATGCAGTTGTCCTCGCAGCTGCATTTATTACCCCATGAAATATCTGCAGACCAGGAGTAGTTACACATTCTTTATGAGTCTGGAAAAAATATAAGGACAGCCTTCTGCAGGCTGTGTAGTGGGCATGAACGGAAATAAGACCGTGAGTATATAAGCTGATATTGTGGGTTCTCCCACCGGCACTGTGGTCAGTTGTTGTTGTTCTCAACCAGCAAAACGACTGCAGCAAAACCGATTTTCTGTATTTCTTGGGCACGCTGGGCGAACATTGAGAATTTTAAAAGACTATAAATAGGTCCGAAAAGAGAAATATGCTCGGCTCGCGAGTCTCAGACCTCAAAGCGCATAGAACTGTACAGAAAATGGCTGAAAACTTAAAGTCTCGCAGAAAGGGCTACAAGGGGTGCTTCGTTACAAATAAACGTCGCACTTTTTTATACGTTTAACCCCACGTTGTCCCCGTTTGAAGTTATCATAAAGAAAGCTCCAAAAGGCTTGAGCGAAACATCAGTGAGCAGTCGTCTAGAAAACAGTTGGTACGACTGCATGTGAAGAAGTGTCGGTGGGCGGACATCGATAGATTTGCTACCCTGCTAGCGTTGAGGTGCGAAGATGTTCCAATGCCTTTTACAAGATTTGTTATCAATGAAAACCGAACTGATAAGACGGCGTCTTAAGGCAGCGATAACAGGCACTTTCGCCGCAGCGAACCTACGTGTATTCTGCATGAACTCTCTCCTATCATGCTGGGGATGTAAAGACCGAGTTCAGTTTTAGGCCAGATCGATGTGCATTTACTTTTTGCCCTGCTCCTGTGGGACAGGATACATTGGCCGAACAACGAGGCGTCTGGAAGAGGGTGTGTGAACGCATACGGGCCTGTCTGAGAACAGGTGAAACTAGATCAATTTCGGGTTCTATCTTCGAACATCTAGCCGATACGAATCATCGGGAGCGTTCGCAACGAAGCCTTTCAGGTTGTCTACCGGACATCAACTAAATTCCCTAAGGGCCTACTCCAACGGGTGATAGCAACAGCCGAGACAGTGGCTATACGGCTAGCAAATCCAGTATTGTGCTAATACAGACGCACCATCTCTTCCGTGGCTGACGTCAGGTTGTGATTGCAGATCGCTCCCACCCGCTGCTGACAAATTTCTACTACGTGCCCGTGACAATGATTTTTAATCCGCGTGATCAACCCACGACCACTACTCAGGGCTTACCCTAATGGTCAGAGCATTGGACGTCTAGTCAAAAGGTCGCGGATTCGAGCCCCGGGTGCCGAAACATCTTGGCTTGGGTATAGTTGGCTGATGACAGGTAATAAACCAGAAGTAGTGATTCCAGTCTCCCTTTTCTTTGTCGGTAATGTCATGCTGCCGATATAATTATCCACTGTGCGGCTTTTGGCGTTGTGCTGACTAGCTCGCGTCGAAGTGAACTTTCCCGAAGGCTCACAGACGCTGGTCTCGATGCCAATCACAGTTGCCGCAAAACTGCTTTTTGGCCGGGCGACGAATGGCAAGCCTGCACGCGTGAATGTTTTCTCTGTCCACTGGCCTGACTGCTGTAAAGTGACACTTGGACCCGGCTGGTCGTTTTCCCAAGTCAGATTGCATCCACCTATTCTCCGTTCCTCTGTGTACACAATATACTGTTCTTACTACTCTGGCCTCTACCACCTTCTTCTCTATAAAGTAACCACGGTCTGAAGATCGCAGTTGCTAGGGTTTAGCTTACCTAACCCCCTGCGATAACGTAAGTCCAGAATGAGCTCAGAGGCACGACGGAACGAGAAAGTCCCGTAACCGATCGATAAGCGCCTTTCTACTCTGGTAAGAAATCTTTGGATGGACAACCTCCCGAGAAAAACTGAGCCGGACCAGGAACCCCTTCGGTTTTTAGTCGCCCGCCAGACCTGTTTTCAGGGTGAAATCGATTCCAACCCTTTTCCGGGCTAGTAACTAACTCAGATTCCAGGTGCCATAATATAGAAGTCAACTTAGTTGAATGAATCCCCGACGCAGTAATTTGAGCATCCTACCCAACGCTAACCCATAGCCCTACTTACTTCTTTGTGAGCGCTTTTTCCCGGCCACCAAAAACAACCAGAACAAACCGCTTTCATCGTTAACACAACTTAGATACGCACTGATGCGCCGGCATCCATATAGTAGTCGTACATGGAGAATTCCTTCCACCCTCTCCCAGAATATAACGATTTATATCTCCTGGATACCGTTTGATTTAAAAGGACTTAAATTTTAAGTATCCCAGAAGGCGAGTCCGTAGGAGAGTGAACTATTCCATATTACCGCATAACGCTAATTCAATGCTACGCATAATTTAAAAAGAAATTGGATGACGAAAAAACAACTCTTATACTTGATGAGAACAGTCCGCCGGAAACGGAGTTTTCAACAGCCATTCACGTCAAATATACCGACTTGTACAGGCTAACTTATCCGTATGAGTAATATGCATTACTTATTAGACCAACGCCGCCGCGTCATGAAGGCATAAAAGCTTTTTCATTGCAAGCAAGGAGCGACAAGGTCACAATAAGAGAGCAGCAAAACAAGGGCTAGTCGAAGCACAGAAGTTTTGTATTCACACAAAAATGCTACGATAGTAAGCAAGGAAGAAACAATACACTAGACAATAGGGATACTTTATACAAACACATGTGTAAGCGAAGGAGAAAGTAACTTTACAAGGTTGAGCTTTAGAGAATGAAAAAAAACCTAAACATAAGTAGGCCGGCGCAGTAGGTACCCAGACTATCCATCCCACAGTCCAGATTCCTTCATCTT